ATCTTAAGTGAGAATAACAGCACAATTGGAAGAGCGTAGTCAATGTCACTGAACTGTGCATGGAGAAATTTTTGAAATGATGTATCTTTGGCTATGTGTATTTTCACCAAAAAAAAAAAGGTTGAGAAGTTAGAGGGTTGATATGTTGTGGGGTTGTTAACCAATGTCATAAAACAACCTGTGTACTACTGTTTCACGAGAAACTATTTGTTCTGTAAGCCTTCACCTGAAGTACAATTTAAAAAAAATAAAATAAAAAAATATATATATATCCAGAATACCATTTCTAAGTAGTTGCACTACGATCCCATTCCAGGCTACCATCCTCTCAATAGGATTTTGCTAGCATCCTAAATGCTTCCTCCTTTGCCCCTCACCCCTTCAGTCTTTTCTCAATACAGCAACCAAGGTGATCCTGTTAAAAACAAAATCAGATCATACACTGCTAATCAAAATCTTCTAATGTCTTCTCATCCCACTTAGAAAAAAAGTCGAAGTTCTTACTAAGATCTACAAAGCCCTACACACTCTATACCACCCTCCTTAACCCAGTGACCTCTCTGACTTCATCTTTCAGTACCCCGCGCCTTCTCACTCCAATCTAACCACACTATCTTCCTTGTTGTTCCTGAACAGCCACAAGGCTGAAAGAACTGAGCAGTTTCAGCTGCCGCCCAACACAGGAGACAAAGTTTGCAGTCCAGCTACATAAACTACCAATAATAGCAAAAATTAACATTTCTTAGAGGAAGGTAACAGAATTCAGAGTCTCTACACCATAACTCCAAAAAATGTCCAGTATATTAAAAATTGCTAGATCTGTGAAGAAAGAAAAAAATGTGACCTATACTGAAGAGACAAAGTAATCAACAGACACCAACCCAAGAGACGCAGACTTGGAACTAGCAGAAGAATCTGGAACAGCGATTATAAATGTAGATCATAATAGATAAACAGATGGGTAATCTCAGCAGAGAATAAAACTATATTAATGAGCCAAACGGAAAATCTAGAACTAAAAGGTACACTATCTGTAATGAAAAAAATCACTGGATAGGCTAAACAGTTGACTAGAGATGGGTTGTGAACTTGAAGATAGGTAAATAGGAGTTACTCAATCTGAAGGAGAGGAAAAAAAAAGAAAAATTTCACCTCAGTGACCTGTTAGACAATATCAAGAAGTCTAATATCTGCGTAACTGGAAGAAGGAGAGGAGAAAAGGCAGAAAAAATATTTGTATAATGGCTGAAAATTTTTCCAAATGTAGTGAAAAAATAAATCTACAAATCCAGAAGCTCAGTGAACCCCAAGAAGGATAAACATAAAGAGAATCACACCTGGGTGATAATGACATACACACACACACACACACACACACACACACACCAAAAAAAAAAAAAAAAAAAAAACCCAAAGATACAAAGAAAATCTTGAGAAGCCAGAGAAAACTTAAACAGTGAAGGAACAATGATTCAGTTAATGACTGACTCCTTATCAGAAACAAAGGAGGCAGAAGGCAATTGAATAATATCTTTCAAGTGGTGAAAAACGCTACATAATAGAAAATTATCTGGCCCCAAACATCAATAGTACCAAAGCTGAGAAACCTTGATCTACAGGAAGGAAAGAGGAGCACCAGACGTATCTGAGCAAGTGAGTAAATATACTGAGGATAATGGAAGCCAGGTTTCTAAACGCTGGATAAGAGAATTACAAATATGGAAAAGGGTAAAACTAGAATTGGTGATTTTGAGAAAATAGTTCCTGGGAGTTCTTTGTCCTATTGTATGTATCAAAATAAAAAGCTAGAGGGGAAAAACTCCACACAATATCATATTCACAGTTAGTGATTTAATTCAGGAAAACATCACTTATCATTAAATTAACGTTGTTGAATAAAAAAAAAAATTAGCAATTCTTACCCTTTTATTTTCCATATGAATTTGATAATCATTTTTCATGTTTCAAATTCCTGGGCACTTACCTTTAAGTTATATATAAACAATTGATCACTTTTGATATTCAGTCTTCCTCACAATAAGCACTACATACCTTTGTTAGTTCAGTTCTATTTTCTCATTTTCATTATGATTTCTTCATTAACTCATGAATTATTTAAAAATATTTTCTTTAAGTTTAAAAACTATCACATGATGGTACTGTTTTATATTCATTTCTAATTTTACTGCTTTGTGTTTAAAGACCATCACCTATATTACCTTATTAATTCTTGGACATTTGTTGACACTATTTGTGTGTGTGACTCAGTATTTAGTTTTTAATAGGATATTCGAAAAACAAAATGTTTTTCTAAATGTTGGGTGAAAGGTTTTACATATACCCATTAATAATAAAAAATCTAAATATGTTGATCAAAAACCAACAAAAAAAATGAAGAGCATATGGCAAAGGTATTGGTCGTTTAGGCCTCTGGGGTATAGACTCCAGAAAAATCAAGGCAGCTTCACTAAGGAACCAGCCGAGGGGGATTTTTCCAATAGAAATACATGTGAGGTCAAGGTGAAAACCTTCTCAACAAAGCAGATTTCTTAGGCCTAATTTCCATGATACCAGACAATACAAAGAGCTGCTGACAACACCTGGATTACAAGAGAGTGAGTGTACAGTATTACTAAATAGAGCCCATACTCGACGCATGCTGGAGGGCCAAAACCACGGCGCTCAAGGGGGAAATATTTTTAAGAGATTACACATCAGCAGTTTTTCCCCCTCGAAAAATCACAAATGCATAGTGCCAAAATTAATTTCTTGCTGAGAGATTTTTCCCGACTGAGATGAAGTTCATAGGTAAAATAATCAAGACAACTGGCATCCTGATAAGGCAACAATCTGTCTACTGTCCTTCACGCAGATACAACTAAGTTTCTGCAATAACCTTTGATAAACTAAGTACAAGGTTCTGGAAACATAACTGTGCTTGGGATAAGTGGTCTGGTAATGGGAATGGCTTAGTTTTTCAAAATTTGGTAACTGTGGGGTCAGTACTGTGATAAACTTGTATATCTTACTAACCTTTTGTACTCCTTTAAAAGTAGGGCACATAAGAGACTTGACAGCCAAACAATATAATTTCTGAGGCCATGAAAAATCTATCTACTCCAGTGAGAGACAGTCCAAACTACCGTGGCTGAAAGAATCCCAACTTTAACTGAAATTCATAACTCTTCTACCTAACACTCAGCCAAAC